CCTCAGCCTCCCAAAGCGTGGGATTACAGGCTGAGCCACCGAGCCCGGCTTGTTTTCTCTTATTATTCCTTACTTTTATATGTATTTTATGTGTACATATATATACATTTTTTATATATACATATATATGTACACATAAAATACATATAAAAGTAAGGAATGATACACACACACGCACACACATATATATGTGTGTGTATATATATATATATAAAAAATATCTCACAATTTTTCTGACTGGAAAAGAAGCCACAGACCAATTATAAAAAGCATAGCATTTAGAATAAAATTGTATCTTCTAAAGTTGGTGAGATCATGACTGCAGATCGGAAGATCATGGGGTGATCTTTGAAAGACAGTCTTTGAAAGACAATCATGGCTGCGCTGCTCTGTTTGAGGAATGTATGGCCTCTTTCCTCAAAGATGCCCACGTCCTAATCCCCAGAACCTACCTGGCCGGAGGGACTTAGCAGGTGTCATTAAGTGAAGAACTTTTTTTTTTTTTTTTTGAGTAGGAATCACTCTGTCACCCAGGCTGGAGTGCAGTGGCATGCTCACAACCACCACACCCTCGGTCCGCTGGGTTCAGGCGATCCTTCCACCTCAGCCTTCGAAGTAGCTGGAACTATAGGTGCGTGCCACCACGCCCAGCTAATTTTTTGATTTATTGTAGAGACGAGGTCTCACCAAGTTGCCCAGGCAGGTCTAGAACCCCTGGACTCAGGCAATCCTCTTGCCTCTGATTCCCAAAGTGCTGGGATTACAGGCACGAGCCACCATGCCCAGCCAAGCGAAGAACCTTGAGTGGGGAGATTTTCCTGGATTATCTGGGAGAAGCCAGTGTTGCCACAAGGGTCTTTATAAGGGAGAGGCAGGAGAGTCAGAGTGAGGGCTGGAAGCAGAGGAAGAAGAGGGAGGTGAGGAAGGGCAGCGAGCAGGTACACAGGCACCTGGAGAAAGTGGAGGCAGCAAGAAGCCAGGTCTGCCCTGCAACCTCCAGAAGCGAATGTTCACCCCTTCTGGACTTCTGACCTCCGGAACTGTGAGGTATGAATTTGTGATGTTTTAAGCCAGGAAGCTTCTGGTCATTTGCTGCCAGCAGCAGTAGGAAACCAATTCAGATGGGGAAAGCATTTTTGGTCTGTTTTTATAAATGATATACTCAGTTAATATGGAGGAGTAGTGAATCCGTCATTGGTTCAAGCTCCCCAGAGCAGGTGGGTGCTGGGAGAAAAGACTGCAGCACAGGACGGTGACAAGAGGTCGTCGATCTGGATAACAACACTCCAACAGGGGACTGGAAGGTCAGCTCCATCTGAAACCTGAGTTTAGGTGGTCTCTCCTCTGGACTTTCACTTTCCAACCATGTTCCCTAGAGTGGGAAAGGGCACCTCACAGCTGATTTTAGATCCTGGCTACTTGCGGGCCTTTCTCAGTGGGGCCTGTCTTGACGTTGACAAGAACTCCTAACCGGCAGGTGTCTCCCTTCTTCAGGCTAAATGCCTGAACAGCTGGTGCGTGAGAAACCGCTTTTTTTTTTTTTTTAACACTTCCAGGAAGAGGCCGGGATGGCAACCACTTCCTTCCTGCTTACAGTCTAGAAATCCACATGCCCAGATGTTAGGTCATGCGAGGATTAGCTCTGGGAGGGCGTCTTCATTTTGATTTAAGACCCACACTGAAGGATGACATTTAGGGAGAAGGTAAGAATTTTTAGAAGTCATAAAGGAATGTGAAACAATGAAAAAGAGGTGTGGCAGTATCAGAGGAAAGCCCCGTTGATTCCATAACCTTGCTCTTTTAAATGCACGTCTCCTAGCCGTGGATGGTTGACACTGCCTCAACAGGCCTGGGGACCCCTTGTGCACCGAGCCTTGGGCTCCGACCAGAACCTCCCATCGTCATTGTGTCTGTGTGGGAGGAGCAGGGGAATTAGAAGCATGGGGTTTGGGTACTTTTAGGGAATTCAGGCTTAACTTTAGATCTATGAGATCATTGTCAATGAATTTTACATTCGCGGCTTCAACTGTTCCCAGCCCCAAAGGTTCACGAGATGTAGGAACTCTATTTAATTGTCTACCCTCGAATCCTGAGTGCTGCAAGACCGGTGTGTAGCATAAGCCTCTTAGGAAGAGCAACTCCTGAGCCAGGCATTTGTATCTTGGGGCAACTTTGTTCTCCCACTGGTTTAAAGCGTTCTGTGGTTAAGATTCTGCTGTTTATAAACCAGGAATATATAGCGGTCTCTGACTTAGGCCTCCCAACCAAAGGGTCTGCTGATGTTCCAGGTGATAACTGTAAACAGACGGTCTTGGATGTTCCCAAAGAATCAGTTTCCATCCTGGGAAGTTATTAGAACGTAGAGGATCCCCCCAGGAAGGTGCCCACTCCACCCCAGACGTCAGCCATGGGATTCTGGTACTTTCTGCCCAGTAGCTGCCGACAAAATGGAAATAGTACTGCCTGCTTTTCTATAACCATGACTGTGTGATGGTCAGGAGACGAGATGCCCATGTCACCGGGTAACCAACGGTGGCCTTCCATGTGAGTGAGTTCCCACCATCCATCAGGAGCACAGCCATGACCTGAACAGTGGGATCCTGACATCCAGGTCCTGCGTCACTAAACTGAAAGCAGATTAGAGAAGAACACTTTTTAATGTATTTGGACACCAGTCATGTCATAGTATAAGCTTATGGGTCTGTTAAAAGCATCACTTGAGGGCCAGGCATGGTGACTCACGCCTGTAATCCCAGCACTTTGGGAGACCAAGGTAAGAGGATTGCCTGAGCCCGCGGGTTCGAGACCAGCCTGGGCAACTTGGCAAGACCTCATCTCTACAATAAATAAATAAATTAGCCGGGCATGGTGGCGCATGCCTATAGTTCCAGCTACTTGGAAGGCTGAGGTGGAAGGATCGCCTGAGCCCAGCAGGTTGAGGCTGCGGTGTCTGGGTGCAAGCCACTGCCCTCCAGCCTGGGTGATGGAGTAAGACTCCAACTCAATAAATAAATAAATAAATAAATAAATAAATAAATAAATAAATAAAGGCATCACTTGAATAATTAGCTGTTTAGTTGCTAAGAGATTTAAAAAAGACATTTAGGAGAATCTGAAACTAGCCTAAAAGCGTAATTATGAAGATTGAATGTCACAGTTAGAAATGCTCCTGTCTGTCACCTCCTTCATTATTTTAGGGTAGGAAATATGTTCCAGCTTGCCAGCCGCCAAAGAAATCAGGAGTAGCAAGGGTAACCTTCAACTTGTACAAGCAGAATCCCAAGGACTTCATCGGCTGCCTCAATGTGAAAGCCACGATGTACGAGATGTATTCTGTGTCCTACGACATCCGGTGCACGGGGGTCAAGGCCCTGCTGAGGTAACAAGCTCCAGGGGATCACCTCCAGGGGTCTGGAAACTGCATGGGGCATGGCCCAGGCCGCTCAGCTCCACCTCATTCCTCTGGACACGTGGGCCCAGCTCCAGGGGGCCCGGCTGGGCCTGGTGCTGCTGGTAGGAGCATTCCAATTCACACTGTCTTAAGTGGTTTAACTCATGCCCATTTCACAGAACAGAAAGGCTTAAGCCAAGCCAGATTTCTTTTTCCTTCAAAGACTTAAATATTCAGGAAAAAACACTAAATTAAAAATATAAAGAGAAACCAAATTTCTTTTAAGAACTAGGCTGGGTGTGGTGGCTCATGCCTGTAATTCCAGCACCTTGGGAGGCCGAGGAAGATTGCTTGAGCTCAGGAATTTGAGACCAGCCTGGACAGCATAGCAAGACCTCACCTCTACACAAAATAAAAAAATTAGCTGAGGTGGAAGGATTGCCTGAGCTCAGGAGGTGAAGGCTGTGGTGAGCCATGATCATGCCACTGCACTCCAGCCTGGGCAACAAACTCTGGCTCAAAAAAGCAAAACAAAACAAAAAACCCCAACAGAACGAGAGCACCTTAATTCTAAACAATGACAGCTAAAACCAGAGCCATGGAGATGCTGGCTTGGTCGGTAGAGTTGCTGCCTAACCTTGATGAACACTCTTTTGCTGTATCTTCCATATCACTGTTAAATTTAAACCTACAGCCATGTGCTACAGGCATGTTTCTTCTCCACATAATGCCAGGGCACCCTCATCCCAAAGACTAGGGCCAGGCTGGCAGCAAAGTCCACAGGCCAAAGGGCTTTCTAAAGGCAGGTTTCCTGCCCATATCCCTCACCTCATAAAACAAATTCTAGAGGACTAAAAGAAACCCTCCCTGGGTGTAATCCCTGCCACCAAGCCTTGGACTGAGAAGGACACTGGAGTCCCTCCTCTGAGTAACCAGCTATGTGACCCTTCATAGGTTACTTAACTTCCCTGAGACTTGGTTTTGTCATCTTTAAAATGGGAAGGTTTCTTCCATGTTTATATGATCACCTAGGCTCCAAATACACCTCCTCCTGCTCCTCTAATAAATGCACTTACTGACCCTCTAAAGAATTAGCTCTCAGCCGGGCTCGGTGGCTCAGCCTGTAATCCCGCGCCTTTGGGAGGCTGAGGTGAGTGGATTGCCTGAGCCCGCGGGTTCAAGACCCGCCTGGGCAGCGAGACTTCATCTTTATAATAAATCAAAAAATCAGCCGGGCGTGGTTGCGCATGCCTGTAATTCCGGCTACTTGGAAGGCTGAGGCGGAAGGATCGCCGGAGCCCAGCGGGTCGAGGCTGCGGTGGCTGGGAGCGGCCACTGCACTCCAGTCTGGGCGTCAGAGTGAGATTCCAACTCAAAAAAAAAAAGAATTAGCTCTCTGTGGAGGGAGGGGGTGGAAGGGGAGAGGCCACAGCAGGAAGGTCTTTGAGGTTAGCCTCAAAACTTTGCGACTAGGCCAGGCACAGTGGCTCAAGCCAGTAATCCTCGCACTGGGAGGCTGAGGCGAGAGGATTGCCTGAGCCTAGGGGTTGAAGACCAGCCCAGGCAACTTGGTGAGACCTCGTCTCTACAATAAAAATAAAAAAATTAGCCACACGTGGTGGCTTGCGCCTGTAGTTCCAGCTACTTGGAAGGCTAAGGTGGAAGGATCGCCTGAGTCCAGCAGGTCAAGGCTGTGGTGGCCATGAGTGTGCCACCGCACTCCAGCCTGGGCGACAGATTGAGACTGCAACTCAAAAAAAAAATTTTTTTTGCAACTGACCCCTATACATCCCTCCCGGCAGGGCCTGCCTATTTCTCTTTGAGGGCACTGGGTCCTTCTCTCTGCTGTCCTCATGGGAACTGCTCTGACCTGCCCTGAGTGCAGCACCAGAAGGGGAGATACTTGGGAAACAAGCTGCTCTCCTCATGGGGTTGGCTAAGGCATGTGGCCTCTCTGTGGCCTCAGTTTCCCACTTAGAGCCATCGATGGCTGACTCCTAGACTCCGGTTGCTGGCGTCGTGTTGAAATCTTGACTCTCAGAAGAGCTTCTTTTTTTTTTTCTGAGATGGGTGAAAATAACTTGGTTCTTTGATTATTAAAGTGAGGCAGGAGAGTAACAACAACTTAGAAAAGTATAATGAAGAAAGTAGACCTCATTCCAAATCCTACCGTAGCAATCTTTCTTGAAAGACAGATTCAGGCCGGGCTTGGTGGTTCAGCCTGTATTCCCAGTACTTTGGGAGGTTAGGGTGAGTGGATTGCCTGAGCCTGCAGGTTCGAGACCAGCCCAGGCAACTTGACGAAACCTTGTCTCTACAATAAAATAAAAAATTAGCCAGGTGCAGTAGTGTGCGCTTGTAGTTCTGGCTACTTGGAAGGCTGAGGTGGAAGGATTGCCAGAGCCCAGCAGGTCAAGGCTGTGGTGACCGTAAGCGTGCCACTGCACTCCAGCCTGAGCGACGGAGTGAGACTCCAACTCAAAAATAAAAAAAAGACAGATTCAGCCTTCTGTTTCCAGATCACACTGTCTGATGGGTCTGCCGGCGTCACAGGCAGCCACAGAGCTCACAACATGGAAGCATTGCCTGGGCAGGCCTCGTGGTGGGATGTGAGGGAGACTCTCCTGATGAGGCAGTGGCCCCAGGCTTGGCGGCCATATCCCCACGGGACAGCTTCCACCTCTGTCAAATGTTCTGCCACCATCTTATGAAGTGAAGGGATTTTTAAAATGTAATGAGATCCTTTAGCTTTAGGCTAGACAGAAAATAAGAACTCAAGTCAAAGCTTTCCTTTTTTTAAGTCATAGTGTCTCACTCTGTTGCCCAGGCTGGAGTGCAGTTGCATGCTGATGGTCACATCAGCCTCGACTTGCTGGGTTCAGGCAATCCTTACGCTTTAGCCTTCCAAGTAGCTGGAACCACAGGCACGCACCACCACACCCAACTAATTTTTTAATTTATTGTAGAGACAAGGTCTTGCCACGCTGCTCAGGCTGGTCTCGAACCCCTGGGCTCAGGCAATCCTCTCACCTCAGCCTCCCAAAGTGCTGGGATTACAGGTATGAGCCACGTGCTCGGCAAGCTTTTTTTTTTTAAGTTCAACATAACACTAATGTCAGACTCAGCCTTAAGACTGAGAAGCCAGGACAGTCAGGGTTTCCCTCTGTTCCACCCTTTGGGAACAAGCTGAAATGTCCCAGCCACCCTCAACTAGCGGGCTCATAGGACCGTGACTCCAGGTTTTTGCCAAGACTTTTCTTCACCCACCTTCTCCTCCCATCTGACCCAACTAGCTTCAGGTACAATCTCTCCACGCCCACCATGGCCCTGGAATAGCTGCATAGCCGAAGGACGGGGCATGGTGCTCAGTGAGTGGCAGCCTGTCTACACAGAGCTTTCTAGCTGCTGAACATGCGGGCTACGTTTGTGAGTGACTCATGGAAGCCATGCTTCTGGGGTGGTCCCTGGCCCCAGCAAGGCTCCTGGGTAGCTTGCTGAGACCAGTTGCCACCCAGGCCCATTGCCTCAACATCTGCGTCTCTGCCAGCTCCAGGGGACAGGTGTGTCCTGAGAGCTGTGTTTTTCAGACTGCAAGGCCTCAGAATGAAGCAGTCCCACCACGCACACTATTTCTCACCAGCCCAGAATTCCAAGCCTGACCTGCTCCCATCTCCCTCTGTTGCAGGAGTCTGCTGCGGTTCCTGTCCTACACTGCCCAGGTGACCGGGCAGTTCCTTATCTACGCCAGCTCGTACATGCTTCGAGTGCTGTGTGACACAGAAGAGCAACCTTCCCTCAGGTCACACACCAAGGGCCGGTTCATGTGTAGATAGGGACACTTGCCATCGACGTGCTAACTGGCCTCTTGACCCAACACTCTGTTTTAAGTGACACATTTTGAAGATACTAGTATGTTCTTAACCACATGTACTTGTAGGCTGCCGGTCGCTTTGCTCAGGCATGGTGCCCAGGTGAAGGACAGGGCTTGGTGGCATGTGATTTGGGGACTGGGTGGGGGAGGAGACCTGGAGGGACCCCTGTGGGCCTGGGAAGAGACCAACAATGGATGTCAGAGTAGTCTGCCTATGCACGAGACCTATTTGCCTCCTCACTTCCTGCAATAAACTGATCAGAAGAACTACTTGTAAGATGTGTAAGATCTCCTTTTATCTCTCAAAAAACAACACAACTTTTGTATAGAAGCAAAACTCAGACAGAAATAGGATACTAACAGATATGATCACTTTTAAGTCTTCATGAGTACTTTGTGCCACAAAAGCAAAAAGCTGTCAGATGTTATTGTTTGTTTTTTTTTAAACGTGGTTCCTTAATGACGCCAAAGGGGCCCTAAAACGGAAGGTCTCAAAATTTTGGAGGTCTTCAAGCAGTACTTTTAGGCTTCTTCTTTTTTTTTTTTTTTTTGAGTTGGCATCTCACTCTGTCACCCAGACTGGAGTGCAGTGGCCGCTCCCAGCCACCGCAGCTTCGACCTGCAGGGCTCCGGTGATCCTGCCGCCTCAGCCTTCCGAGTAGCCGGCATCATAGGCATGCGCTACCACGCCTGGCTGATTTCAGGCTTCTTCTTAAACAACAAAACAAAACTGCTTGCAACCTGGATTTGATGCCTGGCCCTGGCAGGCGCGTCCTCAGCCCTGCTGCTGACTGTGGCCCAGTGGGCATGGGGTCAGACTGGAACCGGGTGCAGGTTGTTGGGACCCTGTCTCCCATTTCCGGTTCTGCCTTCCTCCTTGCCGACTTTGTCTTGGCAGCCACCCCCCCAACATGGAAGTGAGGTGTCCCACTCAGGTCCGCAGGAGGGAGTTCTGAACTGTGTCTCCTCAGGACCCCTTGGGTCACATCCCTCCCATAGTCATGGCAACCGGGTACTTATGTCAGGCCGGGCTACGTGCCAGTCCTGGAGACTCCTCAGGGAAACGGGGTGCTGATCCTAGAATAAAGAGTAGCAGATGCTAGGGGACAAGTCTTCTGTTAAGAAATGTTACCTTTAGCCGGGCTCGGTGGCTCAGCCTGTAATCCCGCGCATTTGGGAGGCTGAGGTGAGTGGATTGCCTGAACCCATGGGTTCGAGACCCGCCTGGGCATCCTGGCAAGACCTCATCTCTACAATAAATCAAAAATTAGCCGGGCGTGGTAGCGCGAGCCTGTAGTTCCGGCTGCTTGGAAGGCTGAGGCGGAAGGATCGCCGGAGCCCAGCAGGTCGAGGCTGCGGTGGCCGGGAGCGGCCACTGCGCTCCAGTCTGGGCGACGGAGTGAGACTCCAACTCAAAAAAAAAAAAAAAAAAAAAAAGAAATGTTACCTCGGAGGCCTCTTTCCTTTCCTGGCCACCAGCTTGAGGTGGTAAAAAGGCACAGCAGGGTCTCAGGGACCCTAGAAGAAGAAAAGACCCACCCCACCCCCTCCATTTCCTGTGCTCCTGGCTACTGCTCAGAACTTCCTGGGACATGGACTTTGCTCTCTTCACAGATTCAGTTTGGAATCCTTTCTGCAGGCCTGAGACCAGCATCTGCCCAGTCCCGGGCTCTCACTGTCTGAGCCAGGAGCACAGGAAATGGAGAAGCCTGGCTGGCCCTGCTCCCGCCACGGAGAAGCAAAAGGGAAGCCATCCAGGCAGAACCTCAAAGCATGGCCTTTTTTTTTTTAACATGGAGAAAAAACAGGCACTTTCAGCGTTATCTCCTCCCCCAGTCCAGTTGTTCTTCCAGAGTGAGCCACTGCTGCTGGTAGAAAGAGATTTACAAAGACTGCTCAGATGTCAAAATGTTTCCTTTATAAGGAGCTCACCGAGGGCCTGCCCACCTCGGCTGAGTCTGGCAGCAGCTGGAAAGGAGGGAGCGCCCGAAAGTCAGCAGCAGCGCGAGTGGCCAGCAGCGAGGGGCGCAATCCTACCTCTCGCAGACTCTGGGCTGTCTCTGGGCTTGCGTCACTTCCCAAGGAGTCTGCCGTCCTGGGAAGTGACTGCCTGGCTTCCAAAAAAGGAATTTTCACTCCAGTGCCTGATCCCTTTGACTCAGCTGCGGCCCGTGCTCGGCTGGCCCACCCCCGAGTCCAGACCGTGGAAAAAGTGAGGGTGCCTGGCCTCCCTGCAGGAGGAACTGAGCGAGGGGAGACCATGGCAGGCAGAGGGCCGGGCCACCTCACCACAGGAAGGAGGCAAAATTCAGAGGGACCACTTGGCTCTTGGGAACTTCTGAGGGAGCTATAACCTGCCTCCTTCTTATCTCCTGTGCCCACAACTTACAGGGTGACCCAGGACAGAGCAAGTAGCCTCTATGGAGAGTTGTTAGGGGAGGCCTCAGGCCTGCAGGGATGAGGCAGCAAGGCTGGTTTTGCTGACATCATAGGCTTCAGGGAGCCCTTAGTTGGGCTTTGGACCTGGGAGAAAACTGGCAGAATTAAAATTCACCCCATCTCAGCCGGGCTCGGTGGCTCAGCCTGTCATTCCAGTACTTTGGGAGGCTGAGATGAGAGGATTGCCTGAGCCCGTGGGTTCGAGATCCACCCAGACAACTTGGTGAGACCTCTTCTCTGCAATAAATCAAAAACTAGCCAGGCGTGGTAGTGCGCGTCTATAGTTCCAGCTACTCTGAAGGCTGAGGCAGAAAGATCGCCGGAGCCCAGCAGGTGGAGGCTGCAGTGGCCGGGAGTGTGCCACTGTCCTCCAGCCTGGGCGAAGAGTGAGACTCCAACTGAAAAACAAAAACCAAACAAAAAAATCCACCCCATCTCAGCAGGTGCGGTGCTCTCTTGTCTCTGGCTTGGATTAGGCAACTTGCATTCCGAACGTGACACTTTCTTGCTCTAATCTTAGTTTCTCTGCAGCCCGCATTTAGCCCCACTTGCTCAGAAAAGGGTGTGTCTGTGTGTTGGCAAGAGCGGAGACCTGACTTGGCCACAACCCTCTTTCCCGGCTCTGGGGGCCTGAACTCCAGGGATTGGGATGCCACCATGACCTAAGCCATTAGCTAAATCCACCCAGGCAGGGGTGTCCCTTTCAGAGGCTTAGTGTTCTTCTGTGGGTCCCTGATGGGGACAAGCTCAAGAGCTTTATTCACTTCTAGAACCATAATTCAGAAAAAAGGAATTGGTTCATATGCACCCGGGGTCCACACTCCTGCGGTTGCTGTGTTTGTGAATCTTCACATTATGACTGGGCCTCCTTTTTCAGACTCAGAAACATGTGTAGCTCCACGCCTGCAATGGGTGTCCCCCCATACATGTGTCCTGGCATGTTTCCACCATGTGATCACCAGGCTAGATTCAAGGAGCGCTTTCTGTCGGGAGTAGGAGACAGAGTATGGGCCTGGCAAGAACCGAGGACAGCAGAATGAAATATTCCAAAATAGAATTCTGTCTCATGGCCAGAGACAGACTCTGGCTAAAATCACCCTACAGTGAGCAGGCTTCCCTGCTGAAGTCTCCCTCATCTGTAAAACCAGGATCCAACCCAGGTGGTCCAGGAATTCCATCCCCAGACTTGATGATTTTCTTGGCACAGATTTTAAAATGTAAACACGGCGCCTTTTGCCAGCCAGCACCTTTAAACCGGCCATAGTTTGCCCTTTCGCCATCCTATGGAAATATCTGTCCCCTGCTAGGCCCCAGGCCCCAGCACAGCTACATGGAGTAGGTCTTTTCAGGATTCTAAAACTGGGATCCAGATCGGGTGCCGTGGCTCACGCCTGTAATCCCAGCACTTTGAGAGGCCGAGGCAGGAGAACTGCTCGAGCCCAGGAGTTCAAGACCAGCCTGGGCAACATAGAAAGCCCTCATCTCTACAAAAATCAAAAATCAAAAAAATAAGCTGGGCACAGAGGCACGCACCTGTAATCCCAGCTACTCAAGAGGCTGAGGCGGAAGGATCACCTGAACCCAAGAACTTGAGGCTGCGATGAGCTCTGAGTGTGCCACTGCACTCCAGCCTGGGCAACAGAGTGAGACCCCAACTCAAAAAAATAAGTAAAACTGAGATCCCACTTCCTCAAAGGAAAGTTCTCCTTTCTCCTCATGTGGTGTAGACCCTTGTGCATTTTATCCTATGCAGAGAAGCAAGGAGGGCACGTACACCCTCCAGAGCTGCCTTGCCCAGCACCTGGGATCCAGAGGACCCAAGGGACATGGGCTGCTGGCTGGCTGCTTCTCCCAGCGCCCCAGACCTGAGTACACAACTTTCCATCAGGAAGGTGGGATCTGTGAGCTCTTGGCACAGGAGCAAGCCACACACAGTGGCTGTATCCCCACAGGGGTCTCCTTTCTCCACACAGGGATCGCCTGTCTCCACTCCTCTGTTATAAACACATTGTACAGAAAGAAAAGATTGAGAGCATTCCCCTGCTTTCTGCCGCATCCTTGGGACTCCGGTTCCTTACTACAATCACTGTTGTTTCTTCAAAGGCAGCACTGTCTCTGGGACCACCTTCAGATGAACAGTTTCAAGCACCTGGCTCATCTCGGTGGGCTCTTACTCTTGTCATGCCCCAAGGAAGGCACAGCTCCTTCATTTCGGCCTTTGCCCCACCCGCAGCTTGGTGGACCAGGACCACGTCTGCTCAGCCACAAGGGCCGCCCAGCAGCTCTGACCCCTGGCTGACCATTCAGCCCATAGACCCCTGTCTGCCAAGAGGGTGGCTTTCCCCTAAGATTCTTTTGTATCGTGGCAAAACAGACGTGACGTTTAAAGAAGTGTAGCTTTTAGGCTGGGCTTGGTGGCTCAGCCTGTAATCCCGGCACTTTGGGAGGCTGAGGTGAGTGAATTGCCTGAGACTGCGAGTTCGAGATCAGCCCGGGAAACTTGGTGAGACATTGTCTCTATAATAAATAAAAAAATTAACTAGGTGTGGTAGTGCGTGCCTGTAGCTCTGACTACTTTCTTTTTTTTTTTTTTTTTTGAGTTGGAGTCTCACTCTGTCACCCAGACTGGAGGCACGCTCCCAGTCACTGCAGCTCAAACTGCTGGGCTCCGGCGATCCTTCCACCTCAGCCTTCCAAGTAGCTGGAGCTACAGGCACGCACTACCACACCCGGCTAATTTTTTGATTTATTGTAGAGGTGAGGTCTCGCCTACCCAGGCGGGTCTCGATCCTGCGGGCTCAGGCAATCCACTCACCTCAGCCTCCCAAA